CTCAATATTTTTAAGATTATATATTTAAGCACACAAGAACTGGGGTATAGGCCAGAAATGTGGGGGGTGAGAGGGTTCACCAGAAACACAGTGGGGAGCAGAACAGGCAGATGTACACTGCCAACGGGAGCAGTGGGTGAGAAAGGAAAGATTTGCCATGCCATGTTCTATCTCCTTGGCTGGGGATAAAACTCGTACTGCAGTGGCTGTGGACAGCTTCATAGTGTGGTGCTTTAACCCACCGCCACCAGGGAGGGACCCTCTTAATAATTCTCTTATTTACAACTAACATTTCATTTCCAAATTATTTTCAAACAGACTGTCACATAAAAAAAAAAACGAAGTAAAGGAGTCTATAGGCCCTCCCTGGTAGCATAGGGGTAAAGTCTCAGCATTATGAAGCTATCTGCAGCCATTGCATCATGAGTTGGATCCCTGGCCCAGGGAGCTAACTCACATGGTGAGGCAGACCTCTCCTGTCTCCTCTCCCCCCACTCCCCTCAGCAGTGTGTTTAGATCTGTCTGTCCTGCTCCTCACTCTGTCTCTGGGGAATCCTCTCAGCTTCACACCTCTGGCCTGTACCCCAGTTCTTGTATGCATAAATAAATAAATAAAACCATTTAAAAAAAGCCTATAGACATTTAGTCTGGATTCAAATAACCTTAAAAACTAATTCAGAAATAACTGAAATCTATAATATACTTAAGCTTCCAATGAAGAAAATAATAGATCCCTATTTCTTCCCCAGATATTTTAAAATAAAATTCCACAGGTTATTACTATTATTTTTAAAATATGATAGGCATTGTTAATCTGTGGGCCATGAATCCTTAAAAAGATGTTGGGACTTATTAAATAGACAAAATAATTCCTATTTAAAATGGTGTGTGTGTCTGTCTGTGTGTCTGCATGCATACATACATGGGTAATAATGTTTCTGTGTATCTGTAAATATTTTTCTGGTGACTGAATGGGATTATAGCTTTCTTCACATTGCCAAAGAGTTAATGACTTGAAAAGTTAAGGCTTACTATCAAGAGTTTTACTTTTCTAATTGTATTATCACCAGATATTCTCTCATTTTTTCTTAACTGATATTAAGAAATTTTCAAAGTAGATAATGCTGATTAGATTTTTTTCATGTGCAATTCACATATAGCCTTAGTTACTGTTGCCAAACACATTTTTTACAGTCTGAAAGCCCTGACTTGGTATTTGTGAAAATGATGATTTGTTCTCTTTCTGGAGATTGTGGCTTTTCTCCCTGGGGAATCAAAACTTTTTTTTTTAAAGACATTATTTATGCATATAGAACTGGGGTACAGGCCAGAGGTGCAGGAGCGGTGAGAGGATTCACCAGAGACAGAGTGGGGAGCAGAAAGGCAGATCAATGAAGTACACTGTAGAGGGAAGCAGCAGGCCGGTCAGGAGAGGTCTGCCTTGCCATGTGGGATCACCTCTGGGGTGGGGATCAAAGTCATGCTGAAGAGGCTTTAGCTTCTTAGTGCTGTGCTTTAACCCACCACCAGGGAGGGCTCGGGAACAAAACTTTTATAATGGAGAGGTGGCAAAGTGCAAAAGAAAAGTCAAGCAGGATACTCCATCATCAGGTGGATGGTCCATGTGAGCTTATTCTCTCTGAAGCATCACATCATATGTGGTTTCATCATCCCTCCACTGTGACTACCCAAGTTACCCTATCATTAATTTGCCCAAAATACTGAGCTTCCTTAAGGTATGCCAGACTAAAACAAAGAGTCATTGGGTTCATGGAACTTAAGAGCAGGAAACAGATAATAATCAAATAATTACATTTTGTTAAATTCTATAAAGGAAAAATATGGGGATATATATTAGAATAAGGAATCAAGCAAGAGTTTTCCAAAGAAGATGACATTAAGCTGAAATTAAAAGAGATAATATATCCTTTTCAGTGTGTTTTTTGCAGATTGAGAATATATTCAAAGATTTGGGGATAATGCATGACACATAACTGTACTACCACTGTGACTACCACTGTTTATTTACTAAAAATGCGACAATAAAAATGTAAAGGAAACTACAGTTATGAGAGAGATTGGAAATGAAGACTCATCCACATTTATTGATCCACTTTCAGGAAGAGAGATAATAAAAAAGATTAAGATTCTTTTTAGGGTAAAGGCTTTTACAAAAATTGAGAATAGCAGGTAAAAGATTAGCCACAGGGTTAAGAAATGCTGTTTCTTAATTTATAATTGTCTTCAATTTTTAATTGAAGTTGATGAAATTTTCCTTCAATTGGTGACTATAAGATTCATGACAGACACCAGAATGTCATGAAATGTGTTAACTATGCAAGTGATCTATGATAAAATACACATTCTGTATCATACTCTCTATATTGGTTGTAACATTTAATTCTCTGAGGGATAATTACGAGGTTATTTTATCATGTAGCCTCTTTCTCTTCTTCCTTATCAATTCCATAGTGCCATGTGCACCAGGCACTTCTCTGTCTCCAACCTCTTCAGTATCATTTCAGCATTAATTACTGAAGCTCAGGGTTAGACCCATTTTGAAATGCTTTTGTCTTTTAAGTTTCATAATTCCATAATCTTACATTTTTATGCTAGCAGTCTCCTCTGCTAGTTTAGGAGGCAGAGACTAGGCTTGCTTTGTTTAGTGTCAACATACTACTCCTAAGTAGTATGGCCCCCTGAATTTAAAATACCATCCAGGTAAGTGGTTTTCAAGATATGATCAGAAGAATCAGCATTTGCTTAGAAATGCAAATCATTAGGTCTAGAAGACCTAAGGGATCAGAAGCTAGTATTTGGGGATGCAGTAACTAGTTGTTTTAACAAACTCTCCAGGTACTTCTGATGCACACTGAAGTTTAAAATCCACCAGTCCAGATTAGTATTTTTCATAGTGCAGGCTGCAACACATTAATTGGTTGTGATATAAATTGAGTTACAAACAGCATTTAAAAAAACATAATACAAAAGAAAAAGAATAGCTATTTTGTTCCGTTATAAAGGTCAGTAATATTTCATGAAACTTTAATTCCTTATGCACATGCTTGTGTGTGCATGCGTGCATCCATAATTGGCTCAGTAAAATATATTACAGTGGATCACAGTTTGAAAACCGACCTGATTCATTCAATGGCTATGTGAGCTGATTTTCGTAAATCTGGTTCCTGCTTTAGGTCATGGTTTAGCCTTTTAAAACCAGACTACTAATGTATTCACAGTACTTACCAACAGTCAACCTATCTGTAGTGTATCATCTCTCTCCCTCACTAGATTATAAACTAATTGAGAGGCAAATTCTTGTTGCCTGCTATGTTTCCAACACACAGAAGAGCATCTGCCCACCTACAACAGACACTCAATAAACATTTCCTGACTGGCTGAACTTTTAAAACAGAAATGCTTAGTTTTGGGAGAATAGAATTTGATAAAACAGCGAATCGATCTACATTTAGATTTGGGCAGATGAATACATTATTCATCTAACAAGTACAAAGAAAAACCCAAGGACCCATTTATAAAAGAAATCTAGGGAAGGCTGAAGGCTTTGGGTTCACCTATATTTTAAATGTGAATCATCTAACCCCTCCACATAGTTCAAACTCTTCTGGAGAACATTAACAATAAGTTCAGTGGAAGGAAAAGGTACACTGGGAAGGGAAAATACCGGGGGACAAATGAATAAAGAGGAAAATCACATTCACTGTCCAAATAGATTTGCTGGAGAATCTGTTTAATGTTACAGTTAGAAGATGACTTCAATATTCGGGTGATGATTCATGGGTACTATGGTGGTGGAACCATAGGGACTGCACTGGAAAGGAGAAATCAGTACTACCCCAAAGCCAACAAAGCTGTAAGAAAAACACTAAAACATTTATTTTAAAAAATGATATGTAAAAAATGCATGTTAAAAAAATGAATATCTTAAAAATAGAAAAAGATGACTTCAATATTAATTTTCTTTTCCCACATCTGCTGTAAATCACTGTCCTTCCTGAATTACACTGAGTGACGAATGTGTTTATGGACATGTGTGAGTAAACATGTACCAATGAGCCTGAAATTTGGGGACATGTTCTGCGTAGACAGTGGCATCAAAACAATACTCACTAGATAATCCCAAACCAATAAATAAATCCTCATCACAGCCCTACGAAGCCAGTACTGTTATTTTTACTGAAAAGCACACATGCCCTTTATGGTCACACACTAGAAATAACTGAAGCCAGAATTTTAACTCTTTCAATTCTTGTTCAAACTGCTTTCCTATTTTATGTTGTCTAAAAAGGAAAACTATTTTTTGTAAAAGAAATATATATATCTCAAATTACAAAATCCATTCATTTAAATGTACAATCTTGTGGCTTTTAGTGTATTCATAAATTGTGCAACCATCACCACAATCTAATTTAATGTATTTTCATCAACCTCCAAAGAAATTACTTACTCAATAGCAATCAGACCAAATTACATATACTTTACATGTATAAAAGAAATGTAAACTCTCTTAAATAAAACCTCCATTAAATATAGATGTGAAAATATATTTGATACAGCCAGTGCAAAAGATAATAATGAATCTTAAAGGCAAAAATAGGTCTTGGCGAGCCTTCGATATTTTTGCATTAACATTACCATCCAGTTGAATATGGCAAGTAATCAGCTACTTCCACCTCATATTATTATGGTCAAACTCCAATTTCCAGGATTTTTCAGTACTTTGTAGCTCAACTAAATATAAGTTTGGGAGGCCATACAAATAAAATAGCTACAACGAAGTTGTCTTAGACATTCACTCATAGTTTACCAATATCAAAGGGAAAATAAGAATGAAAAAGTACATAAAATGTAAATTTTCTTTTTAACATGTGTTGATGCATGATTTTTAAGAACTACACTGCTGTGTTTAAAGATTGACAATAAATACAGTATAATTTAATAAACTCTGCATCCACCCCAAATAATTTAAAGGAGCTCACTGTTGGTAAATGCACACTCTTCATCACTTTCATCATTGTCACCGGATGGAACTTTATAGGGGGGTGGCAGCTTCATTGGAGGTGGTGCAGTTCCACGTCTCTAAAGTGCAAAATTGAGAGAAAGGGTTAACTGCCTTTGTACTGTTCCTTTCCTTAGTGGCAAACAGGATATCAAGTATCAAACAGGATATTATTCTGACTGTACCGAACATCAGCCGTGCCATAAGGACTGGAAAACAAATGCAATTTATTTTCTTAATGTGTAAGCTGTTCGACAAAAGTGACTCTGTGAGTACACACACCAATTCACACCACCACAGACATGAAAAAGTGTGACTTTTAAGGTTCTTGACCAACACGAAAGGAAGCATTTCTTTCCTGAGGAAGCCAACTGGCAAAGTCCCCAAGAAAATTTTGACACGTCAAATCCAGTGAGATATTAAGACATCATCAAAAGCAATACAATGTGTAAAGATAAAAGTTTCAATTTCAAAAATTGAAATACTTAAAAAAATGTGATATTAACAGTTAAGAGGTTTAATATCATAAAGATATAACTTCTTTCCAAGTTATACAATTTCAATTATAATCTCAAAAGAATTTTTTTTGTGATGAAATTTTCAGTTATTTCTTACATTTATATGTTAGAAAAGGAAAAGGAAAAGGGCACTTCTGAAGAAGAAATAGGTAAAGGAAATTGCTCTACCAGAGCAATTTCTAACTTAAAATAGATATATACTATAATTTTTTTTAAAGATTTATTTTAAGTTAGAAGATTCTAACTTAAAATAGATATATACTATAATTTTTTTTTAAAGATTTATTTATTTATACAGAACTGGGGTACAGGCCAGAGATGCAGAGGATGAGAGGATTCACCAGAGACAAAGTGGGGAGCAGAACAGGCAGATCGACAAAGCACACTGCTGAGGGGAGCAGCGGGCGGGTCAGGAGAGGTCTGACACGCCATGTGGATCTCCTCCGGGGCAGACGGGGATCGAACTCATGCGGAAGGGGCTTAAGCTTCTTAGTACAGTGCTTTAACCCACTGCGCCACTAGGGAGGGCCTCTACTATAATGTTTAAGTTGTTCTGCATCGTACAGGAATGGACATGTGGAACAAAGAGAAAACTCAGAAACAGAATCCCTCTGATGACATAAGATATGACAGAGGTAACACTGAAAATCAATGGGTAAATGTTAAATCACTGGCATCATCAGTTACCTGTGGAAAAGAATAGAAATTCGTCACTATCTGATGCCAAATCATAAAGTAAATTTTAGATCAAGTAATTTTACTCAAATAGAAGGAGGGAAGCAGGAATGGATGATTCTGATGGTAAGGAATATTTTCTCAGTAGAGACAACCTTTGAACTGGGTCCATGGAGGACGAAAGATTCTTATGGAAAAGCAGTGTTCAGGCTGAGAGAACAGAAGACCAAAGTCTTAGAAACTCCCAAGTGTGACAGACATTTTCTGGGACAGAAAAGCTATCCAACAGGAAAGGATGGCTGGTGCTTTAAAACATTTTTATACCTGTGTTCCACTGGGTTTCTGATCTACGTCCTGGCCGGAACCAGTTATGTTCAAAGGAAGGAAACAGCATAAATACAGTACTTCTACTCTGACAAAAAGTCACCCTTAAAATATGCATTTCAGATAAGCAAACAGAAACCAAAAACATTTCTTTAAAGTTTGAGAGGTTCAAGTTACCTTTTCTTTTTTTTCCGGGGTGTCTTGGTCAAGGTTACTAGTGGTTTTATTGGCTTTTTTTTGTATGTTAGGAATGACCTAGAACCAAAAAAAATTAACACATTTAAATGTCACAATCATGTCTTTTCTTAAGTTTAACTTAACCAACTCTGACTTCTAAAAAGTAAAAGACATGAGAATATAATTCAAGGCAAATGGTGTGTGTGATATTGTATATGTGTTTACCACATCAAGGAGCAAGAACCTTACAAACTGTACACACAGACTCAGAAGTTCAGATGAAGAAGACTAAAAAGAAAGTCACTATAGACTGATTGTTATCCAACTATCTCATGCTGGAAAATACAGTTTTATGGGTGATCTCAACTCACTCCTAGAACTTGGACAGATCATTTACTTATTAACCTTATTCAACATATACCCCACCTAAACTATGTTTTCTGGCATACCATGCACACTCAAAAAATAGTTCACTTCCACAGCACAAAGATGAGTTACAAATGTATTTACACCACATGGTAAAAAAGCTTGATGCAAGCTGACTTATCATCAATTTTGTCACTTACAACATTGGTGTTCAGAAAGAACTAAAACACTGTCAGGTTCAATAAATGTTTACATATGAGTGAAACAACTCAATTTCACAGTGATTATTTAAATACTTAATGGTGCAAAAAGTACAGACTACTTTTCGAATCATTTCATTTTTAAAACTATGAAACATCTAAGGAAAATATATAATGTCTATTTTGACTCATATAAATAATACAGGCATAAAATTTGATGATCAACCCAGAAAGATAAGGAAAAACTATCTTCTGTCATAGAAAATTAATGATATTGCATGCTTAAGGATAATTTAAAAACAATACCAGAAAAATACCTTTAACTATTTAAGACTGTTTTTCCCATGATCAATCTAGAGTTTAGAGCAGTAAATTAATTGTGGAATAAATGAGGAAGTCTCCGAAATGTTTCAGTTAAGTAAAAAATAGCAGTGATATTTTAACAGTGTGGTGCCAGGAAAAGGGGAGGTTCCAGGGTCCCTGCTTCACCCAAAGGAGGGTGTAGGTATGCAGGGAGGAGAGGAAGCCAGGGAGGAGACTGGAGAAGGAAGGAAGCAGGATGGAGAGCCAGAAGGTGACCTGCAGGAGGCACATGGAGCAGAGAGGCCTGTGAAGTAGCTGCACTGGCTCCTTGGTCGAAGCAGATGTGGGTGAGAGACCCGTGGGGAGGTTAACAATGGCAGCTTTTTCCTTGATTTTGACTTTGCTTTTTCCTCCCAGACTTGTCTGGCCATTTCTGACCTTTTTCTATGGGTCTCTGCTGGAAGGTGCTTTATACTTGTGGCGGGCTTTTGGGATTTGCTTAGGGTCAATCCTGTTTGGGTGGACTTTTACCCAAGAGGGGATGGGTAACTTTGGGTGCTTGATTTGGAAACTATACTCTTTATATTGTACACTAATTGTATTATAGTTCCTTTCCATTAAAGGTTTATATGTTTTTTAATTGACGTGTTATATGCCAGAACCTCTAGAGTTGGCAGGTTTGGGGGTTCTGGGGTTCCCCTCTCCCTACCCTGTAATAATATATCAACACACACTCAGTGCTTCTTATGTGGACAGACACTACTAAATGCTCAATTTATCTTTAATATTCACAATAACCTAAATTAGTGTTCAAAAATTGGTGGATTTACAGGTATGTGTTTATTATAGTGAAGAATCACAGAAGCAAACACTGCCTCCCTTACTAATCAAAATTATTTGTCTACAATGGGACTACTTTCTCCCATGAAAAAAACAGGTAAAGCTGAATAGCAAAAGTTTTGGGACAGATATCAGTTGCCACTCATGTTTACACTGTTTGCGTTTTTGGGGGTGAGAATTCTACTAGTAAAACACCAATGCACCCTGTTTGTTTTTTGAATAGCAGAGAAAAACATTTCTGTACACAAATGTTAACATTATAAGAAAAATAGAAGAGAGCATATTTCTTTGAAAGTAACCAAAGGCTTTATATAATTAATATCCAGAATGTACTTGTCAAAAAAATTTCAATGCCATTTTGAAACAATGGTATTAGGGAAGAACAAATGGAATATAAGAAAAAAGGAAAATATATATGATGACAAATTTAATAAGCTGAAGGGATGACCCCAATTTCCAAAGGGTTTTTAAATATACTATAAAATGTAGTTAATATTAGTAAATAGAAAAAACTTAACTTGGCACAAAAACTTTCTATTAAAAAAAATCTTTTCTACAGTACTTCAATATAATCCATGGGTGTGCTCTCAAATCAAAATTTACCAAGTGAATCAAAGTGAATACACAAATTTCTTTCTGGCCAGCTGAAAATGCATTTGAGAAATTGAGAAAAAGCTACAAAAGATAATGTATCGACAGTATTCCTAAAGCATGTGTTAAAAGCACAAAAATAGAAAAATAAAATTTAACTTCAAGAAAAAAGTACAAATATAAATACCACTAGGCATTTCATGGTGTTTACGAGAACTTTCATGTGCCCAAGACTTTTTTTCAACATATGCCTTTGATGGGCCCATCATTAGGAAATGAGTTTTGTTAGTGTTTAGAGCAAAGTCTCAAAGTTTAATATAAACTGGGAAAAGGGATAAAGCCTTGACTATATTTTCTATTCCTCTGATCATCAGTGCTACTTGCAATAATAAGTAAGTTAAGAGCATCATTTTGCAAAGGTAGAAAACTTGATTCTATTTATCACCTCATTCAATAGAAATCATTGACTGTTAAAAAAATGGAACAAATCATAGACATAGTAATTAGTACCATCAACAGAATATGTTCCCTTGGCTGGAACCACAGAGAGTTCAATGCTTGCTGAGCCAACTGCACGTGATGGCAGTCTGTCATACAGCATGGGGACATACATGCACCAAGCAAAGACATACTTTTTCTGAATGGCTGGAAGAAATTGCACCATTCATTCATTGAAGTGAAAACTGCCACCTCAGCTCACCAGTTGAGGCTGAAGAGAAAGTTTAGCCTTTTTGGTTGACTTTACAACCAATACTTTGAATATTTTTTGGTAAGGCATTCACGAGTGGCCACATAGCAATGTGTAATTTGTTTGGCTCATTCCAGCTCAAAACTATTTCTTTGGAAGTATCCTTGGCAAAGGAGCAATCTGGCTGACTTCCTTATTGAATTCAGTTTCCAGAAATAAAACTAATGGCCTCAACTACTATCTCATTATTGGGAGTTAAAGATCAGATTCCAGAAATTCTTTAACATAAAACTGTATGAAAATAAGACTTTACCCAGTTCACCTCTGTCAGTTAGACATGATGGTGGAAGTGTAGTGCTACGGGAAATGTACACATAGCAAAGCATGCCCCGCCAGGAGAAGGCCTACTATGTGCAGACAAGTTTTCAATAAAGCCCTTATCAATGGGGAGCCAAACATCTGTTTGCTCACTTTGTTAATATTACTTCCTGTATACCTTGACATATTAAAGACTGAAAAATACTGTATTATTATATTGAACAGATTTAAAAAAAAATAGGCAAATTTTCTGTTGTTCAGGAGTGTCAATGTTCTCAGCAGCTGTCTTCCATTATATAACAAAGAGAATAAATATTGCTTCCAGTTACAGGGCTTAAGGATAACATTACTGGAGCACATTGGAATACAAAATATACACTCTGCCACTAACATCTGTGTGTCAGAGTTCCAGTTCTTACCTAAAAAGGACTTAAAACAGAAAAAAATGATTTAATATTGCTATTTTTGGAAATTCAGAATTTCCAACTGAATACACTACCATGCATATTTGCATTTTACAATGCGTTAGTAAACATACACAATCTTTGACAGTACCTCTAAAATATTTCTATATGTGATCCTCATCTTATTTAACATATTTTGTAAGTAAAATAACTGGCTCAGGAAAGTTAAGTTACTTGCCTCCAAGATACAAAATTGGTAAACAGGGAATCAAAGAATCCAAACATATATGGTTCCACAGCCAGTAACTTGAATCAGTACACACTGGAGTCACTTTAATTTGAGTAAACGATCACAATCAGATTAAAAGAGGGAAACTGATACCAATAACTAAATCTTTCTGAAACTAAATGTTTATCTAGGTAATAGTAAAGTAATAATAAAATTATGTGTGGGGAAAAACATGGCAAAAAAAATGAAGCAAAAAGCTTGGTCCACAGATAAAATATTTTTAAACATATTGAAAATACCAACTAAAACTTACTCTTGGAGCAGATGACAAGCTCTGGACAACGAACACCACAGGATTTCCTGCATTCTTAATGGCCTCAACTGCATCTTTGTGTGAGGCATTCTGCAAATCTACTCCGGATACCTAAAACACAGAAGTAATTTTTCAATTAGAAAGTCATGTATTGTAGAGAGGTTAATTCAAAATTCAGGATTTTGATTACCTAGTTCTAAGGGGATTACCTAGTTCTAAGAACAGTCAAAGTCGAATAAATTAGACCAAAGTTAAATTAATAGCTTACCTTCAGGAAAGGTAGTCATGACCCTAACCTAATACCAATAGCCCTGGTTAAATAAACTTATCCAAAACATTTCAGTCAGTAACAGAATCTTAAGAAGCTTCTGAGCTTGCCACTAACATAGTACATAACTCTGAGTGGGGGCAAAAGAGGTGGGAATCTCATTGGACTCTTTGCCAACTGAAAAGAAGGAAATTTTAAGTGAATCATCCATAATTACAATTGGGTAGTTAAACATTACTCAAATTATGTTCAAAAAAAGAAGTATGAAATAACCATAGTATCTTTTAAAAATGTTGTGTTCAAAATTTTGGGTTAAATGTCAACATTTTCTTATACAAATGTCAGAAAACCTAATTTGCAAATAGACTCATAATCTTGAACATCCTGCATTTATCATACATATTTAAAAGGACCAATTCCTCAAAAACAATAATGCAGTAGGTAAGTGTTGTGGAGGTGGCTTATTGTCAGTGATTATGGACAATTTGTGAATATTATTTTGCTATAAGGGGACTGAAGAAATGGTAATGAGTGTGGAGAGGTATGTGGGATCAGGACTAGTTCTAGTTTTTAAGATGGGAGATACCAAGATACCAACCACAGCAATAACAATGCAGTGGAGAGGAGACGATAAAAGAAACGTGACAACTATAAAAGCAATAATTGGATAGTGAACAGAGAATGGCACACTTCACAGTGATTGGCTATAGAAAGAAACACAAACAGTGCATTTGTTGTTATGGACAGTTAGAAGTAAGATGTGTTACGCAGTGGAAAACACAGGAAATTTCCCTTTGACTGTTTCTATTTTCTCAATGAAAAAAGAAACACAGACCATGAACTGAGATTAAGACTAAGGTAGAAGGTATAGGAAGTTTGAAATAATTACTTATGGAAGTAGGAGAAGCAAGTCTCTAAGGAACTATCACAGGTGTGCAGGGCAGAACTAAAGACTCACTTGAGTGGTGTAGCTGGGAATTTAAAATGAGGTCAGGCATCATAGCTGGCTATTTCCTCAAGTCATGTTAAAGATCCCAAATAAGCGAAGAGCCACAATGAACAAGAATATGGTTCTCCCAGCAGGTTCAGTGAACAGAATGAGAACCAAAGGTACTGGAAGAGTGTGTAAGGAGTCATTGGAATGATTCATCCCTGCATCTCTTTAGAGTGATGAGGAAAGTGAGGAGTCCAGAGCAGAAAGACAGAGGCTTGAGGGAAGACGTTAACATAGGCAAATAGGGACCCAAAGTATTAGGAATTAAAAAGACAGGGAAGTCTAAACTATAGTGAGTGAGGGGTAGCAAAAGCAGTGAGGCTGAGAAGGGAGATGAAGCCACAACATGGAAGGTCCAAAAAGCCACCATAAGTATTTGTGCTTTTTTTCTTATAGACATCAAATTACTCAGGATAATGGGCTGTAACTTTCCTATCTGAGTTGAATGAGGATATGGGTAACAGCAAATAAGTAAGATGTAATAATAATTTAAAATGAAGCTAATGGGCTCAATGGACTATGGTGGAAGGTTACTGGTGTTTTGGTTCTCTGGGTGTGCACATTTGTAGTTGCGTGAAACTGCCAGTGGAACTATCCTCAAAATAATCAACAGTGAGAAAAAGCAGTAGATCTATATGAGAATAGATCTAGAAACTCACAAACAAATGTGTGCCTATGTATCTGGTTCAATCTGTGCATTACTTAAGAATTGTGCCAGGGTCAATCAGCTTTTCAGTTTTGGTGGGTGACAAACTGTGTAAGATTGGGGGAGGCTAAGAGAAGGTACCTGGGAGAGAAGGTACATGGGAGAGAAGGTACCTGCCTCATAAAGTACTTTTCTATTTCCTGTGAATCTATAAACAATAGCTAAGTACTCAATGTGATTGATAGGTTCTTAGAAATTGCAACTTCAGTGATGTATAACAAAACTGATTTTACCACAGATTAGTATAATTAAAAGTTAAGTACCTAGGGCATATTTATCACCACAAAATTCTAAATCAAAGACCTCAAACACTTCTAATATGAATAATGAGTAAAGATTATTATTCATTCATTTTCCAACCTGCTTATTCCAGTTGAGGATGCAGGTGGCCTGAGCAACTCAGGAGCCAATCCCAGCAGCGCAGGGAGTGAAGGGAGATCCTGGTCAGAATGCCTTTGTATTGTAGAGCCATTCACACCCACACCCACTCAAGAATATGACAATTTAGACATCCCAAAGAGCCTCACATGGCTTAGGAGAAAAACGGAGTACCCCACAGTTCACAAAGAACATAGACCCTGCTGAAATCCATTATTTTTTCTCCTTATCAATGTTATGACAAAATGACACCAAGGACCTACTATATTTCAGAATTGAAAGTTAATGAGAAAGAGATAAACTAAAACATAGATATGTCAAAACCAAGTTCAAGTATATCTGTAATCATGATACAAGATGAATTAATGTCGCTTACTAGGTGAAGACTATCAATTTAGATAAAAAGGAAACAAACCCAACTTTAGAATCTCATAAAATTGTGCAAACAAGGTACAGATTAAGGCAACTAAATAAAATACCCCCCAGTATATAAACATACACCCACATGAAGAAAGGAATTTGGGCTAAGTGATTATTTTACTATCTTATGGAGTATTTCAAGGAAAAGCATCATTTACCTCAAGAATTTTATCTCCGGTTTTGAGAGCATTTGTTTTTCCTGCTGGACTATCTTCTAAAACTTGTTTGATAAATATACCTTTAAGTTCCTCTCCATTCTTGAGGCGTTTGATAACAGTCTGACCACCAACAATACTAATACCAAGAGACACATCAGGTTCTCTAAAGATCTCAACACTGTAAGAGAGGAAAAATCAAGATTTACTCAAGAATAAATTAATTCAACTTGTTAGACTGTCACTGCTTTGATTTGTGTTATACCTTTGTGATTTGTTCTTTAGATATATTTTCTAGATGTATTTTTATAAGTGTTATAGAAATTTTACTTAGTTCCAAAATGATATCATCAGTAATTCATGGCAGATATGAAAGTTTACATTCTAAAAAAGGTACATTTTCAAAGTAATGAATATGAACCTCACAATTCAGAGATGTAGCTAGGCCTGGATGATCCTATCTTTTACCATAATATATTCCCTATGATTAGTTCTTTCTTTTATACCTATCACAGTAAAGAGTCAATTAAAAAAAATAACAAAAGAGTAAAAAATCACCTCTATCATCGGCAATCAGTAGACTTTCAGAATAAGATAAATTTGCCACTGAGAGCCTCCTTGCCCACCATACTTTTCCCAGTCAGCAGATTTTAACCTGTGGTTCTTTGGGCAGAGGACAGTTTTTATCTGATCCTAAAGTTGGAAGCTTTCTACCTCACATCATTTTAAAAAAGAAAGCATGCAATAAAACTTGCCCTTCGTAACATTATGGATTTGTCCTTGCACAAATGTGGCCAATAATTAACTCACATTCTAAAAAAGCAGCTCAGAAAACAGTTTCAGAGTTTTTAAGATGAAACTTGGTTAGATAAGTATGGTGAGGTTATTAATGCACAAAGAATAGAAAGTAAGGCTAAGAAAGGTTTCTTAATCTTCAGAGTGCAGCCATGGTGAGTACGTACCCTACAACAATATCCAAGAACAATGGGCCCACCACATTCTGTTAGCTCAAACAAAACACAAGCTTGGGTTATACATGGAGGAAGGTAGAGATCAACAGATAGAAATCTCAATGTTATTGTTTATAAAATAAGAAACTTTACCCAATACTAAGCAGTACTACCTATGGGTCAGTGATGCAGGGATAAGAGACATGCAGGGATAATGGACATTGTAAGTTGCTTTCTCTGAATGAGCATGGTAAAGATTTTCCTAATATTGGTTATAGTTGATTTTGCCTGACTAAGTATCTTTAGGTAAGATAAACTGAAACTATAATTTAGATCAGCCTGGATGTGCATGATTGCAATTTCTCAAGTGATAGAGGGTGACTGATGACACTAATGGATTAAAAAAGAGCATCCAAAAATGTTCCCCAACTGAGAAAGCCAATAGTGTCATTAACATACATTCTTGGTGGACCCCAGTGGCTGAAGTTTGGAGTTTCTTCTCCTTCACCTTCTTCTCTCTCAGGTAAGTCACTGAGGAGAAAGGAAAAAAACAAAAATACACATATATAAGGTATAACACAGTCATAATACTAAAGGTTCATAGAAAGTTAATAAACCACACAATTTATATGTAGTTAAATAATTCTTAATTTTTAAGCTTTAAAAACATATGAAAAAGTTGAAAACGTTTCATTGGTGACACTCTAGATGCTATTTTCTAAAAATCTGTATTTGATTTGTACGATTTCATATTTGTTTCAGTCAATTTATAAAATATATTTTTTTAAATCTGGTATTGATTGACCAAGTTATCAACTGACATAAACAACTGAAATTATGAAATAGTAAGCCTAACCCTTCCTTCTAGATTTTTCTGTCACTCTAATCCTAAATCATTCCTGTCATTTGTACCCCATGGAAATTTAGTCATATGGGACTTCTTTTTTCTTTTTTTTTTTTTTAGATTTATTTATTTGTGCATACAGAACTGGGGTACAGGCCAGAGATGTGGAGGGTGAGAGGATTCACCAGAGACAGAGTGGGGTACAGAACAGGCAGATCAACGAAGTACACTGCTGAGGGGAGCAGCAGGCGGGTCAGGAGAGGTCTGCCACGCCATGTGGTCACCTCCGGGGCAGGCGGGAATAGAACTCATGCGGAAGTGGCTTCAGCTTCTCAGTGCTGTGCTTTAACCCGCTGCGCCACCGGGGGGGGGGCGGGGGGGGCCCTCATACGGGACTTTTTAAAGAAATTTGCTTATATTCTATGTGTTTCTCCCACCTACAATCACTATACTTACATCTAGTATGTTACGTTAGTAAAGAACTGCTTAACTGGATTTACCGAGCAGGTAGTTATAAAGCTAAAACTAGCTAAGAGGACAGGTCCACTAGCACATATTATTGAGAGGAGTAGGAACCATTAGCTCTTGTCTAACCTGCATTGTGTAATGGGTACCTGACTTTTGACCACCAAGTGGAGTAATTTGTGGATAGTGTAAATTCTTATTCTATGCCCCAAAAGTAGGTATGACTTCTTCCTTTGCATTTTCACATAATCCCTGTGAAGTATGCTCGGCAGGTCACATCATGTTTTTCAAATGAGGAACTGAGTTCAGAAAAGTCATGCTGCAGAGCCTCCCAGAGTATCCAGGTCTGTTTCAGCAGATGGCCTCTATGTTCCATGTTTTTCTGTAATGTCCAGTAAGAAGTAATAAAATGCCAGGCCTCCCTGGTGGCACAGGGGTTAAGTCTCAGGGGTTAAGTGGCTACCAAGCTACTGCTAGCCACTGTGGTATGAAGTAGATCCTTGGCCAGAAGCTGCCCCCTCATGCTGCAGCAGACCTCTCCTGGTCTTGTCCACTACTCCCCTCAGCAGTATACTTCAGTCGATCTGCCTGTTCTACTCTGTCTCTGGTGAATCCTCACAGCCCACCCCCTGCACTTCTGGCCCACACCCCAGTTTTTCTATGCATAAATAAATCTTTAAAAAAAAAAAAAGTTACAGGCCCTCCCTGGTGGCACAACAGGATAGGATGCAGCACTACAAGCCAGCTGCAGCCACTTCAATGTGAATTCGATTCCTGCTACAGAGCTGACCCACATGGCGTGGCAGACCTCTCCTGTCTCATCTGCTGCTCCCCTCAGCAGTGTACTTTGTCGATCTGCCTGTTCTGCTCCCCACTCTGTCTCTGGTGAATCCTCTCACTGCCCCTGCACCTCTGCCTGTACCCCAGTTCTGTATGCATAAATAAACAAATCTTTAAAAATAAGTTACAAATACCACCTACTTGCTATTCTACAGACATTAGAGACAGTTAAAGAACAGTGAGAAGCAGAATGCTGAAAGGATCTAGAAAATCTTAGCAGACCTGAGCATATGCTAAAAAGGTGACTGTAGGTAGGTACCTAGATAGAAATTGGAATCATTAACATATACCCACTACCAGATGGCTTTGCCTTACTTGTCTATTTTTTATTTGTAAAAGCATCAGAGCACTCAGGGAAAAACAACTGGACAGATAATGACCAGTTACCTATAGAATGTCTCTTTCCTTTTTTTCTTACCAACATCACCCCTTTTTATTCCAGGTGGCACTCAGACCAACTTATTAAAAAAAAAAAAACCAAAAACATTTTCTGAACTTCTTTCCAGTTAATGGTAACTATGTGCATGGATCAGATCAATGATAAGGAAGCAAAAGTCTGAGTAATATTTTAGGAAAAGTCATTAAATGGAGAGCAAATCAGTTGTTAGGAGCACTTTAAGTCTTTCTCTTTCTTTTTTGCCTAGAAGGCAGAGATGATATGGATGGTGAAGGATCCATATCAAAATTATAAGGAACCAATAGGACTAAAGCAGTATGTTAAAGACAGCAGAGCAGAAAGAAGATGGACTTCTTACATGAAGAAAATCCTGTTTGGCTAAATTGGGGGGTTCTGTTTATGAGCAGCTGAATATAATTTCTACAATTTCTAATATCCATGGTTTTACCAATTTAAATGAAGCCTATTGTAGTACTATTCTTTGCACAAGTGGAAATATTTATTATGCTTTTACAAAGCCTATCATTTTTTTTAGGCAGCTGGCAGAAATATATTTCACTTGCATTATTTCAAACCTAAAGAGAAACAAACCATAGAATCATTTATCTAAGTAGTGTGATTACTTTTGGAAATAAAGCCATAGGAGAGGATTAACTATATAAACTAATGCAGTCACCTTACACCGATGAATGCAACATTTTAAACCTAAATTAAATTTAACTGAGAATGTAAAATACTTTTACTACACTCCTATATGGAAATTTGGCACACATTTCACATTTCACAAAGGGTTTCTAACCTTATATTTTATAAGTTTCACTGTGGTTAAACAGAATCAGAATCAAAAATTTTAAAAGTGGGTTTCTGCCTTTACTCAGGGATTTATAACCAATTTTCCCTAAAAGAACTAACCATACATTAGAAACATTAAAAAAAAAAAAAAGAAATTCAGCCCTTATGACAAGTGCACAAAGTTATCATTCTTTATAGATTTTAAAGCAAAGGAGGTATGCTTCTCTAGTAAACATGACTGGATAATCATGATATCCAATCTCTTTGTGAATGAAATTGTCAAATTCATTCAACTCAAAAATGGTAAGATTCCATATAGCTAAGGTGACCCTTCTTTTTGAATGTATCTTATCTAACATTTCTGCATACAAATTCATGAGACTCTACAGTGAGCCCCTTAAAAAGATGTGAGATGGAAAAGTTCTGGTTATGACTAGTGCATTCGAGGTTTTATTTTTCTTTTTAAATATAATTCCACATGTCAATTTTGGTAACACACCACATTTGAACATTTGGAAGTGAGAGAAATGGGCACTGGTGTTTTCCAAACTAGTAGGGTTATTTCTTCAGATGATAGGTACCTTGGGATTTTGAAACTGCAAAGCAATTATGTCACAGTACTCTCTGCAAAGAATTCAGTATTCCCTTAAAGTGTAGAATGACACAGCTGTGGTGCTGAGGGAAAGAAGAAACAAAACGCATCTACTGTATGATTGATTCCATTTATATGAGTTCTCGAACAGGAAAAGCAATTTACAAGGTTAGAAGTCATAGTAGTAGTTGCCTGGAGCAAGACCACATACTAAGAATATGGACGAACTTTCTGGGGTGACAGAAATATTCCAGATCTTAATTGGGTGTGGGTAACCTGAATTTATACCCATTAATCAAATTAAGCAAATTGTCCCTTAAAATTTGGGTTTTTAAATAATAAATAATAGGATTTAAAAACCCACAAAGGTTAAGTTGCTTTCTTAGTTGCTTTACTAATCTTGCAGCCTTCTGTATGTTGTGGACTGGTTATCTAATTGTTGTAAGAGTCCTGCATTATCTTCCACCCTAATTTTTCACATTTGTCTTTATCTGCAGAATGGACCAAGCTGCAATAGCATCGTAAAACCTGGAAAATGTCATGTATGAGATGCCACAAACTCTGGAAACCTCCTCTTTCCCTCCCACTCACGCATTGTAGAGCAGGTCTCTACCAACTGCACATGTTTTTGTTCTCCCACATACTTAACCTCCTACAAGTGTTCTGATTTTAAACCTAATTTTTGGTCGTTGGACTCAAAGGATTAGTATTTAGCATTTATTTGGAAGGCATTAATGCCAGACACTATATTGAGGGCTTAAAATATTAAATTAACTCATGTAATTTTTTTCACATTTCTCTAATCCTTTTCCCTGTGACACTCTAGCTCCTCTTTCATCTCCTGCCACTCATAATAAAATATCCAATATCTAAGGTCCTTCTTTTTACTGGCATCCTATTCCATCTACAACATGATTTTTTTTTTAAATATGTATCTTTTACGTCAAGTTCATCATCTTCCCAGGCTTTAGCCTCTTGACACTTTCCTTGTTTTACTTATTGTAAGTTGCTCCTACTTTATTAAAGAAAGAGCTACAACCTCCTTAAGAATTTAAAAAATCTCAGCAACAATGAATGACTCTATTATGATGGTTTATCACTGTCATACAGCATCAATGCCAGCCTTTCTTTCATTAAACATTTACCATGTTCAAGGCATTAGGTGAAGTCCTTTATGTTCACTCTTACTTAACCCACACAACAACCTGCTTTATAAGCGAGGAACAGGAACCCTCTCATGGTCATGTAGCTGTTAATAAAGAGGAAGAATCCAAGCAGCATGCACCATGGATGTGTTCTGTAGATCTGCTATATTCTGAGAGTCCCTATGTCTCCCAGGATGAACACCCATATGTCTTCAGGCAATAGGTGGTTACAGAGATGGATTAGAAAAAGACTAAAACCAGGGGACTTCTGGTCATCTCAGATGACCTCATGAAGTACGTGTACTCAGAACAAGATCACCCGGGTTCTTTTCTGAGTTATCTTACCTTGCTTACACACTGTCCCCTTCCTAAAGAACACCACTTTCAAGGTGTGTCTGACCTCTTAATACTACTCCTGCCTCCAAAGATGAGAAGTTGGCTTGATGCAAAAGCACAGTGCACACTAAATAATGCAGCTGGGCCCTATACAAAAATTAATGCAAAGAAAAAACTCTAAAATACCATTAGCACCACTTGACACCCTGATGATCTGAAGAAAGACTGTCTTCCAAGAGAATTTATGCATTATTCAGGAAGGCTCCAGAGAGGCTGTAAATATTCACCTATGAACCTAACTCTATGGAACGTACCCTGAAAGATTAAAAGGGGTAGTCTATGATTTACAGGAACTCTTTTGCAAGTTATTGAGATTTAAGTGATAGCAAGCCAAAAGAAAAAAAAAAAAAGCCTGATTTCCTAAGACAAGGATTAGGCTGGAGCCCTTAAATGCCCATGCTGGGTGAGAAATCAGATTATCTAAGTATGCCTATATGGAGATAAAGCTATGAGAGAGCTTTATCTTGTCTCCTCACTCTCTGAAATGGGATAATAGAGTGAAATATAACTAACATTCCATTTTGCCTTCTGCATAAGGTAAGAGCAGGCCTGGAAATTTATTTAGATCTTTCCAATTGTTCAGTTACAATTGTGTAGCTTTAGAGAAGCATCCTGTTTCTGAATTTTTGGGACAGATTCAATTACGAACACCAAGTACAAGAAAACTTTAAAACACAAAGATGTTGCGTCTGACAAGTAATCTGACACATGAAAAGTCCTAAAACATGTTCTGAACTCTTCTAGTCCTACTTCCAGGCATCTTTGCTGAAGGAACAATGCACTGCTCATTCAACACTGCTTCCCCGTGGGAGCTGGTTGGAAGGCTCACACCAGGACCAAGTCTGTCAGAACCTCTCTGTGCACTGGCCCAGTGCTGCTGGGAAAAAGCCATCAGGCTCCTTCAAGTAGCTGAGCCTATCTGTGTCTTTCCTTCCCATTCAAGAGATGCAGAGGTGCAGAAAACAACTTTTTACTTTTTTTAAAGATTTGTTGTTTATTTTTCCATAGAGAACTGGGGAACAGGCCAGAGGTGTGGAGCGGGGGCTGGGGGGGGGGTTGGTGGGCGATGAGAGGATTCACCAGAGACAGAGTGGGGAGCAGAACTGGCAGATCTACAGGAATACGCTGCTGAGGGGAGCAGCGGACAGGTAAGGAGGGTTCTGCCATGCCACGTGGGTCACCTCACTGGTCGGGGATCAAACTCGTGCTGCAGTGGCTGCGGTAGCTTTATAGTGCTGTGCTTTAACCTGTTGTGCCACCAGGGAGGGCGCAGAAAACAACTTTTAATGAAGCTTCTGTTTAAACTCGAACCGGAAGTCACAGGTTGCTGGACAGAGAAGTCTAAGACACTTCCTATATCAACATAGAATCATCTTGTACTATGGTTTTAATAATAATATTGAAAACATTGAGGCAAATTAATCCTACCTATCTCTCTCTCCAATTCCTTTGGTGACTTCTACTCTCCTATACTCACACAGTTACACAGCTCTGGCTTTTCTTTCAGATGTACTTCCATTTTCACACCTTACCCACAGTCTTTGCCGTCAATCCTGATCTTCATGGAGAAAGACCTTCTTCTGCCAAACTTCCAGAGTTAATTTTTCCAGCCGTGCAGTGTCTTCTTTCCTTCTTCCTCTCCATGGATTCTATTTAATCAGCCCCTTGCTAGCCTCTACATATTCCTTTCCCAGGAAGACACACACACCTCCCCTTGTCACAATCCGACAAAAATTGAACATACTCCGGTTGTCTAGGTAACATGCATTCTGTGTCTTTACATGACCAGGATTCTCTAAATACCAGTGCCTTCTTACTATGGCTATTTCTGACCTGCTAAATTCTCCATCTACCACTACTCTGATTTACCATGCTAATGAAACTGTTCTGTGTCTTCCAAGAGCAACCATGTAAACCCCATGATAACCTTTCCACCTTAGCTACCTGATGACTCTAGCAATAATGATATTTTTGTTAAAATGCTCTCTTCCCTTGATTTCTACGCAAACATCTAGTTTATTGGTTTTCTTCTTTGTTCATTCCACTTCTTCCTTCCATGCCTTTATTATTGTTGCTTTGAAGGATTCCAACTGAGGTCCTATGCTCTTATTATTTGAACTCTCTCTGGATGACTATTCAAGTGCAGGAGCTTTAGCTAAAAAATTATCCATGTTAGGAGACTCCTTAAAACATTAATCCTCAGAATCATCTCTAATTGCCTTCACTCTGTTTTGTTATGGGTTTGGACTTCAACTTGTCCCAAGCTGAACTCATCATTTTCTCTTCCAATCTGTTCATGCTCCTATAATCAATGAATTAGAGGTCTCATTATCTACCTACTCGCCTCTTCTAGGAGCCAGGGTCATTCTTAGCTATTCCCCCTCACTCCCAACATGTTACCAATCACCAACTACATCTTACTTGAGATAAAATAAACTCCTAATTAACATCCCATTCTTTATACAAATACTCCATGCAGTCCATTTGCACACACTAAAAAAATATAAACTTGTATATATTTTAAGTATGTGAAATTTTCATAGCAGCTGTCTAATCAGGTAGAATTTATTCATAATGTTTTCCTCTATTTTTCCAAATGTTCCACTACAATCATGACTTTTCTTATTATAGAAGAACAAGTGTTTTTATAATGTGATAACAGAGAGAAATGATGGCATACCATGCAGCAGTGGCATATCTGGAAGATAACATTCCTGTGTAGGTGGAGGTCCTGGAAACTTGAGTTCTGGGGAGCTGGTATAAAGGCAAATCTTCTTGCTCCCTTCTTTGTACCACAGAAGGAAGTTCAACAAGCAGGCCGGGACCTGGGACATCATTTGGAGAGAGCATGCCTAGAGAGAAAACCCAGATGACAGTGAATGCCAGATGTTTGCATTCATCACTCCTCCTTCAGTAAGTAGCTAAACACATCTACTATGAACAGGCCCCATTCGAGCAGAAGCCCTGCATATTATAATTTAACTATAATAATAATAATAATGTAATAAGGCTAAAGTATATTAAATGCCAGTAAAATGTTTGATCTCAGATGGTGATCATTATGGTAAAAATGAAGCCAGAGGTTGCTTAGGAAAGAGTTACAATTTTAAGTGTGGACTCCATGAAAAGATGCTGTTTTGGAAAGATGAATATCTTATCAAAAGTATTCACTCTATGATAATATTCTAATCTTACAGCAAATTTTCCTTATCAGACTAAGCCCCACTATAAGCACTTTGACATTTCACTGATTAAAAATAATTCCAAATAACAAAAGAACAAAAACACACTTTTTTTTTTTTTGTGGTCAAGTTAGTTGACCACCAAGATAAACTGTTGTTGCTTTGGAGTTAAAGTTTAAGCCTCTACATAAGTATATGTTCACCAGCTGCCCACCACCAATGCCCAAAAGTCCCCCACCATGTTACACTGGGTTCCTTCCTCATCTCACTGACACTACCCACCTTTCTCTTCTATTTTCCACAGTTCTGCAGTCAGATATTAAGTTTATTATTTGGTTAGTACATACTTCCAGGACCCACACTTATAAATTTATGATTTTTTTTACATGTGTTATTTCAGCTAATGCTCACATCAAACTGTGTTACTGTGAAAAGATAGCAACTATATCACATAGATAAGCTCATGTTAGTGAGTTATGCCAACTGGAATGTACAAATGTATTGCGCATGCCATCTGTGTCATTTTGCCATTTACTGAAACAAAGAACAAGGAGCAGAGCTGCTCACAGAGTGCTGTGCACATGGCTAGAGACCAGCTCCTATGCAGGCATAAAGTGCATTAATCACTCTTAGAATATTGCCATTACATCCAATCCATCGTATGCTCCATGTTCATCTTTATATAGTACACAAACAGAATGAATTATGCATCAAAATACTTTGTGAAATTCATAAATTTATAGTATACTTTGCAGATATGGCTTACCAGGAAATCAGAAATGATATCTAAGAGAAATAGATACTCTTCTAAAACTTATTCTGTGAGCATCTTAAACTCTTTCTTTCTTCATATTGAACACATTATCTAGTAAACTCACCACAATTTCTGCTTTTCATCTTGTCTAGAAATTTTAGAATCAGGTTCAAATCAATTGGCAATGCAAAGGAATCTGAAGACGGGATGAGATAGGGAAGTCTCAGATGCCTTTCCCCTTTCTCCCAGCCTTCACCCCTATTCGCCAGGACCTACATTCTTGCAGGCAGTCAAATCCAGACTGCTGCCCATTGGGTCAGCTTTGTCTGTGTCTGTCTCCCTCCCACTGAGGAAGAACAAGAAGTGGGACCAAGCTGCGGCAGAAATGGCTAAAATCAGAGTTTTAAGAATAGGAAACTGACTCTACTTGAGTTCCCATGTAGCTATTTGTTAAGTGTAATCTGTACATTTTAGCACTGGGCTTCACAGGTTGCTGCATTGTTTAAAACTTCTGTTACACCCTTTACTCAAAAACCGCTTGTTCCCTCGGCTGCCCTCCTCTCTGTGAACGCCTGCTTGTGCGGGTGTGTAGGCACATACTTCTCATCTCTTACATGGCCTGACACTCTTATACTTTACAGAGCTCTTAAATGAGTGCAACACAGGACCCACTCCAGGAACCCATAAAACAAATCAAGTCCTCCAGGATCTGTGAAGCTGTTGGGTTACGGCCATTAGGGAGTACAAAACTTAGAAAAACAGAGACATTAAAAAAAAAATGTTCCCAATAAATGAAAATGAATGCTTCCAGGAGAAGGGCGGGGAGATTTCTGAAAGGTTTAGAGTTGGTGAGGTGTATACATAGAATGGTGAGCAAAATGAAAGCAAGAAGAACCCAAGTAGAGTGGAGACTGGGTGACTGTACCACTTGGTCCCTGAAAACAGAAGTGTGGAGATGACAGGCTGGATACAAAACATGTGAACAACATATCACTTTCTCATTCAACACACTTCCCCAGAGCATGTACCATGATGGCAGCGTAAGATACAAGCTGTGCCTTCCAGAGGCTTCATTAACAGTGAGAGTCTGTGCACTGGACTCTTAAGGACAAGGACAGAAATTCACCCACAGTCACTGGGGGTAGACTGCAGGCAGGAGTAATGACGACTGGGAAGATGAGGCAGAAACAATCCACTGTTTTCTGGACAGGGATCTCAAGAGCAGAATGAAATTTTGAGTAAAAGGAACTTGTTTTGCATATTGTTGAAATCTGTATTGACTATATTTTAGTATTTTCTCAGTCCATCCATGGTTAGTCCTAGTCTAAATATGCATGTCTGCCACATGGCATTCTAAAGGCTTTCAAAAGTTATTCCTGAAAGCATGTGGCTATGACTGTAGCTCTAAGACACACAAATTCAGCTTAATTCTCAAAGATATGAGACTAAAAATAAACTCCCAGGTGTTGCAAAAAATGTCAGATTCAGGAAGTACAGTGGGCTAGGTGATGCCTCCCCACCCCCATCCAGAAGATATATCCATGTCACAGGAACTATGAAATTCAGAAAAATTATCTTTGCAGAGGATTTTAAGTATCTTGAGAGGAGATCATCCTGGATTACCTGAGTGGGCCTAAATCCAACGATAGGTGTCCAAATAGCACACAGGAGAAAAGATAGGAGGGAGTAGAGCAGAAGACCATGTGAAGAGGGAGGCACAGACCGGGGTAAAGCAGCCATATGCCAGGGAATCCTGGAGCACCAGAAGCTGCAAGAGGCAAAAAACAGATTCTTCCCTAAAACCTTCAGAGGTAGCATAACACCCTGACTGTGGCAATTTGTTACATCACTGAGAGGCTCATATGGGCAGCAGAAGGCAGAGGAAGTAACTTTGTTGTCATAAAGATGATCCACAGAACAGGGCTCAGGGGGATCCACAGAACAGGGCTCAGAAGGAGACCGCATCACTCCTGAGTAGAGTATCACTTTCCCTATCTTCTTCCCAACTGCAGAGCCTCTCCTCGCTAACACCCACTCCATATGCCTAGTCTACTAGGGGAAACTAGCCCCTGGTCCCAGGTGGCAATATCTGGAGACATTATGATATCATTATGATGGGGTTAGAGGGACAAAGGTATTTAGGGTTAGAGGGCAAGGAAGCTATTAGCATCTGAGAATGCACAGGCCAGCCCTCCATAACAGAAAGTTGTGTGGGCCAAAATCATGTTGACATGGCCATAACATAGCAATGGTAACCACACAGATATGGTCCGTAAATACACTTATTCATTCATTTGTGCTGTAAGTCTTCTCCTGTTAAGTCAGAGGACTATAGACAAAAACAGTATAATGGGAGAGACTTTAGATTAAAAAGCTCTATTTTTCTTCTAGTTACAATCAGACATGAAAAAAACAAACAAACAAACAAACTAGATAGGCAACTTGAATCTTAGTTACTGAAAATTAACTATTTCATGATGTTTTGACACATAGGAAATTTACAGTTGATATCATCTCATCGATGCCTTTATTTTTTACCATTAAGGGTTCCCTTCTTTCAGTTTTACTCAAGAAAATCCTGAATCATATAAAGCTGTCACATAACTTTCCATAGTGCGCCTTCTCTCCTCTCTCAGTCCTTTACAACATATTACTATACAATACGACAATTGCCCATAAAGACTTTTTCCTATAAGTAGAGTCATAACAGGTGAAGGACAGCATAAATCCTGAATAATGGCTCTATAAATCCCAATGCTATGAAAGACTTTAACAGTATCACCTAAAGATGTTAATATTATAATGACATTTGATATTCCAGTGTTGGATGACAAAAACTTTTTTTTTAAGTTTTCAAAAATATATAAGAATCAATATTGCAAGGAGACAAAGAGAGGCACTATACTTTTAGAATTCTTTAATGGAAACTAAGTTATTAATGCACCAAAATTGACCATAATATATAGCTATAAAATGTTTCATAAATGTTTAAAATATGCCTCTCTTTATTAATATTTAACAACCCCATTCAATGAGCTAACAGTATCACTTAATAGCATCAGAGATTTTAATACATATTAGTAGAGACATTTTAGATTCAGCATAAGGTACTAGTTTTAATCCATACTGCTAATAAAAAGCAAAATGACACAGAGAAAATGCAACCCTCTCAGAAAACAGAATCTGAAAGTTCAAGACTGAAATATGAGCCAGGTTTATCCTTCCAGATAGTCTGAAGCAGATAAATTAATAAACAATTTAAATTCAAAACATCATAATGAAAATGTGACAGTAAAATTGTTCATATACAAGCACAAAACTGAAAAGACTGCAAAATAATGTAATTTGTGTTTATGAGAAACAAAAACCACAAACCTAAATCCAGACTGCTCTTTGTTAATGAATCGAGATTTTCCAGATCATCAAATCTGCCTTGTTGACTGTTTCCTTCAGTTGAGGGGATGGAGGGTAAGGAATCGATGCCAAAACTTTCTTTCATCTTGAGAGGAAGAAAAACAGAAATGCATTAGTACTTCGCGATAAAATGTGGAATGCTATAATGTTGCTCAAACCAGATAGTAATGATAGTGGAAACTGGCACTGCAGACAGGTCTTCTCAAATGACAGTTTATACTACCGTAAGCAGTAACAAATGCTGGGAACTTAATATCTGCAGTAAAGGCTACTCAAACCTGCCTTCCCACCCCCCACCCCGCAACTAGTAAAACCTGTTTTTATGTTTCATAAACATTAACAAGTAGATTTAAATAAACATTCACCAAGGTAGAGGAATAAAAGGCCTATCAAGTCAAGCAAAGTCAATGGTTAATACATAAAACCTTCTGGATGCTGTTAGGATCAAACCTTAAATAGGTTCATTGCTGATCTCAAAACACCTTGTGAATTTCCATAGCTCTAAACCTTGCACAGCCCTCCCCAGCATTCTATCAACCTGGTGAACACCCAGTTACCCAAACTTAAAACCTTCAGATAAGCACAACTGGTAAGTTGCTGCACTTTTTCTACTATCCTCTTTTTATACACGAGCTTTTATGGTTTTCCAAAGTCTCCATCTTCCAGAACACACACCTCCCTCTTAAGTATGTTAACATGAGGTACCTGAGGAGTGTAGTTGTTAGAGATAGAAAATAAAATTGTGGTTGGTTATCAGAGAACAAGGGAAGGGGAGAATGGGTACAGTGTTTCAACTTGGGAAGAAAAAGTTCTAGAGATGGAGGCGGTAATAGTTGTCCAATAATGTAATTTTATTTAATGCTGATACACTGGACGTCTATGGCAAATTTTATGTAGTACCTATTTTATCATCAGTAAAAATAAAAAATCAGGTTTATAAATCTTGACAGTTTAATCTTTGACCAAAATGGAGTAAAAGGGTGGTAGAGAAAGATAAACTCTGAAGTAGCTGGTACTATTTGTACTACAAAGCACTTGAACATGTCATAAAAATCTAACCAGAGTTTGTAACATAAGATAACAAATCAAGACAGGAGCCACCAGAAAGGAGGGTAAATAAAGATCTAAACCTATCCTTATCATGTGGGAATAACTGTTACAGGGATTAATGTATTCCAGCCCATGCATAAGACACTCAAAAAAGTGATTTTAGTAATAATATAGATCTTGATTAAATATACATTGGGTGTGAAGACATGCAAAAAATTATAAATTTTAAAATATGAATGTTCAAATTTATAAAGTAAATATTGTGAATATATGGACTATTTCATCTAGATCTCTAAGAGTTTACATATTAAAGTGGGCCTCTATTTCAGCTTCTCTTATATTTGGATAATTTTTTTTTTTTTATCAAATAAAACAGACATAACCAGGAAAACTTTAGGAATGTTTGGTGACCTGTGATTAGAATTTGCCCTGTACATCGGGGTTTCTATTTGGAGTCAAACATAGTCATATCTGTGGGAACAGAAAGTCAGAAAGCACCTGTGTCAATGCCCTTGCAGCAGGCAATTCTGTTTCTCCTCTTCCCACATCCATACATCTATGTGTTATAGAACACCTGTTTCCTTTGCCCAGTGTCCTTTACCTTGGGGAACCCTGGGGTTCCCAAATGCAGCTAGTCGCTAACACCTTTCACAACAGAGGGATCCAAGGACATTTTCAGAAGGAAAAAAAGGAGGAAGGGTTTGAGCAAGGAGTGGGTGCAGTGACGGCACACTTTGCACATCCCTGCAGGGAAGCTGTCGACCTCAGTGAGGGAGGCACCAGGCTTCATCTTAGCATTTTCCTAAGTTGTATTTTTTTAAAACGTCCCCACACAGTAAGGTTCTTTGCATTTGTTTAGTAGCTAATTTGAAGCAGGAAGTAAATAAAAATAAACAAGAAAAAGATGCTCCTAATGAAAGATTCCAAATGGGGAGCAGTTAATTCTCATTTTATGAAAATAAAGTTTATTTGTGATTTAATAGCAAGGAGAAACCTATTAAAATATAATGCCTGCCTGCCAAGTTATAGGTAGGCAGCATTGCAGGTGTGAGGATCATTAGAGTTCAGTGACTCTATCAATATCATGTACAAAATCCAGAACAGTGTGTATGAGGAAGATAGAAGCAACAATATATGTTTAATCAATTTTGCTTTACAAAATATGCTACATGAGAAATACAGAGCTGTGTCTCCTTGAAAAAAGTTACAAATTGCAAAAGAGAAAAAAAATATATGCTAAACATTAAGGTAAAAAGAATGATTACAAACACAAGGCAACTCAGCTTATTGACTCCAAACAGAAGTTGTATAAAACAGAGAAGATCAGCTTATACTTATAGCAGTACACATTGTGCAGTTATGTCCCAGGGAAAATGACTCATTATGAAAAGAGCCAATGAGCTGTGATTATGCACGTTACCTGATTTACTAGTAGGGAGGGGAGCACAGTAGAAGAGGGGAATCCTTACCATCTCTTCAGGGCCATAGTCATACTGTGGTGTCTCTTGGGAATATACTCTCATCATGGATCTTGTTTCTGGGGGCTCAGGTGGTTCTCCGTCATGTGACCACTGTGTACCAAAGTGAAGCTCCTTCATGGAGGGCACAGGAGCAGCCTCTTGAATGTGCGATGGGGCATAGAGCTCCATTGACTGCAAGCAATTCTGATACATCTCATATTCTTCATCAACAAGCATTTCTCTTTCTTCACTCGCTTCCTGCACTCTAGGATTAAAAAATTCACGCATCTCCCAGGCTTCCTGGTTGTCATCCATCTCTTTTTGTTGAGAGTGAAAAGAGCCCCTCAAATTTAGAAATGGTTCATCCACAAGTTCTTCTTCGAAATAGGGTTCATCTCTAAATCCCTGTAAATGACAGATGCCAAAATTTTAACCTCATCTGTCTTAAAGCTGCACTCTAAACATTAACTCAAAACTGAATCTTGAAATCCTTGCAATGATCATACCACACACCAATGTCAGTGTGAGGAAACAGCCTTTCATTACAGAGGAGGAGAAATAAAAGCTGTCTTCCAACTCTTAACCCAGGAGAGGGACAAACAAAATAAGAGGCTGTAATCTGTCCTTGGCAAGGTGAATGACTGGTCTAAATGGTCATTATACATTAACTACCTGAAAATTCACAATCAAAAATAGGAATTTTGTTAAGCTATTACACTTAAATTAACTCATGCATATAAGTTAAATATTTTAACTTATTTACTAAAAAGTAGTCAATAAATATGAATACACTTCATGCTATTTTTAAGAAAATAAAGATTTAAAAGGTCAGAATTTTCAAGCTATGTAACTCAAAAGAAATTGTGGCTACTGAGTGTTTATAAACATTCTCTAAGGATATGGGGAGTGAGTCTCAACTACTTTGAGTATGATTCTTGTTATATACACAATGTAATAGAAATGAACTTTTCCATCTGCACTGAAAATAGACAGCAAAAGGGAATGAATACAATATATTGTTAAACTTTTATTTCACCAATCAGAAGAGGTAAGTCCTTATAAGTGAAAACAGTCAACAGTCAAATGTGCAGAAACTGTTGAATTCCTAGGTAAATGCCTGAGGAATATATGGACCTGCCAGGTCTCTGACCTAATTCTAGGGATCCTGGGGTTCTGGGCAGTATCAGGCTCAGTTCCTCCTAAAAGATCAGTATGTCCCACTTTAAGTCCATGCACTAAGTATTAGCAAGCATCAATTCCTGACATGAATCAACTACCTTTGATTACTTACACACTTGGAGCTAAACACTGTGGTGAAGGTTTTAATTATTACAGTATGTAAAATGCTGTAGTCAAGTTATTTTTTCAAAAGGTGCATTGAGCAGGTCTATCTGAACAAGTCACACAACTATGATATTTCCACAAAACTAAATGTATATAATAAAAAATGTAATGGACAGTACAGGAATACACATCAGTTTGAGACATCATCAACAAATTATACAAAGACTGTCACCAGGCTATTATCAAGTAAACTAAAAGCATACTCTAACCGTAGAAAGCAAAAAAAAAAAAACCTGGTTCCCTCTTCAGGTATTGTATTTTTTCAAAAACTTAAAAAAAAAAAAAAAAAAAAATCATTTTAAGAATAAAAAAGAAAATCTTCAAAACACACTTTCTAAAATTAAAACATAAAACCGTCTTTACAAAATATTCTGTAAAAAGTTCTACTATGTAGCTCTGGTTTTTCTTTTCCTTTTTTTTTTTTTTAAATAACATCTCAAAAATATGTGCTCCTCTCAAATTTTTAAGAATATACTAGCGATGTAAAATAAGGTATGTTTGCTCATTGAAAATACCTGATATTTGGCTGATAATCATTCATGAAGGCAATGTAATAAAGAGGTAAAAGAACTTAGTTAAAAACACTAAAAAGGGGGATTGTTTAATTTGTATCTATTTAGCAAGAGAGTGGAAACAATCTTTTTATTTCTTTATAGAGACCTTAGCTCACAGAAAAACATTCAAAGAAGGGAATTAATTGATAAAATACCTTGGGTGCTTCAAGTATTAAAGATGAATTTATATCAGAAATTGTTTCTGGAAGTTCAGGCTTGTCTTCATTATTGTTTAAATGTAAAATATACTGACTTCCTTCTTCTTTATTATCTTCCTGAAAATAGAAACACTTTTAATAATTTTAGCAGTATTTTAGCAGTATATTTTAATAATGCAATATTGTTAATTATAACCATCATGCTATTCATTCTATCATGATATTCACTATATCACCAGTAGTAACTAAATGTTGCAAGTTCTGAACACCTTCCTCCATTACCCCACCAGCACCCACTTTTATAATCAAGAAAATACTTTGGCTTCAAATTCTTTCAGATTAATTCTCATCTTTCCACTAACAACAAGTACACAATAAAATTTATGCAAATTGTTTCACTAGAACAAACTTAAATTCTTTAATAATTAAGAAGGAAGCGATATTCAGGTCAAAGCTTCTCAGATTTTTTTTCTTGTAAGTGTGCCTTAAAGAAAAAAATAACTTTCCAAGAACATCTAAAATTAACGTTGAGGAGAAAAATCTTTTCCCTTTCCTCCCCCTTTGAGGTTCTTTGGCCAATCTTATAATTAAATTGCCACAAAACAGATTGTTGAAAAAAAATTAATTAAATATGTAGGGGGTGCCCAGAAGTCTGTGACCCAGAGAAATGATCAAAGTGCTTGGCTTTTGTACCTTTTTTGGATAAAGAAAAACTGAGACGATAATAGGTTTGGGCCTGTAGCTTAGTAAAGAAGTAACAAAGTTTGCTTACATAATCACTTTGACCCCAAATTTCCTATCTCCAATGATAAGATTATCTTTTCACTCTTCCTTCCATAAGGGAAGGGCTCTTTTTTTCACATAGGAAACTTGTTTTCTGCTTTCAAGGACAAAGGACTGTCAGTGTTCAGTTACTGCCTTTTTCCTTTTTGTTTCTTAGATAGCATTGATTCAAAATAATCAATAATCCAACGAGGTATATTGTAGAGGAACCTGCTCTGAATCTCATCACTAAGAACATACAAATATATACTGAATAATAGTCAAAATATATGACAAAGGAGTAGCGTAGTCACTTGCTATGCGAAGTATAGCCTTTCTGGGCATTACAAGTTCACCCGAAGTCCCAGGTAATAATGGTCATCTATCAAGTCCTACTATGTATCACATTATTGTAAATACTTTATATGCTTGTTCTCTATGAGGCTGAGACTTTTTAACCTTATGAGCCCAAGAGTTTTTATTTATATAAAAATAAAACAACTCAATAAACACAGAGGTAGCATTTGACAAAATTCAAAATCTATTTATGAGTAAAAACTTTGACCAAAGTAGGAAGAAAGGGAATGTTTCTCAACACAGCAAAATCATATATGACAAGACTGTCACCAACAACAGAGTTAAAAATAACAAGTTAAAATCTTTTCCTCTAAGAGCAGGAATAAGTGAAGAATATCCACCGATGTCCATGTTATTAAACACAGTATTAGAAGTTCTAAACAGAGCAATTAGGCAATAAAAGGAAGCACGAGTATCCAAATCAAAAAAAAGTAAAACTGCCACTATTTGAAGATGACATATTAAGTAGAAATCCCTAAAAGTTCCACATACACAAACAAAATTGTTAGAACTAATACATTTAGTAAAGTCGCAGAAAACAAAATCAAGATACAAAAAAACATTGTGTTTTCATACACTAATAGTGAAATATCAGGGGGAAAAATTTAAGAAATAACTATCATTTACAATTGTATCAAAATGAATAAAACACATAGAAATAAGTTATAACTAAGAAGGTGAAAAACCTGTAACTTGAAACTAAAGGACAATGATGAAAGAAAATAAGACATATGTGAATAAAAAGATATCCCAGGCTTTTGAGTTAGATATTTTAGCATTGCTAAAATATCCATAATGCCCAAAGCAATATACAGATTCAATGTAATACCTATCAAAATTCTCATGGCATTTTTTCAAAGAACTAGAACAAACAATCATACAATTTGCATATAATCACAAGAGACTCCAAAAAGCCAAACCAATCTTGAGAAAGAACAAACCTGGAGAGATCAATCTCCCTGGTTTCAAACTCTTACTACATAGGTAAAGAAGTCAAAAGAGTATGGTATTGGTATAAAAAGAGAGATATAGATTCATGTAAAAGAACAGAAAACCCAGAAGTAAAACTGACACATATATGGTCAATTTACAGCAAAGAAGCCAGTAATAAATATAGGGAAAGGGCAGTCTATTCAATATATGGTTTTGGGAAATCTAGACAGCTATATGCAAAAGAATGACACTGAAGCAACAACCTATATCACATACAAAAATTAAAATGAAATGGATTAAGGATTTGATGTAAGACCTGATATCATAAAAGTCATATAAATAATAAGATATGGGAGGTAAATATCATAAAAGTCATAAATATCATAAAAGTCTTATAAATAATAAGACATGGGAGGTAAGATTCTTGACATTGGTCTTAGTGATGATTTTTTTTGGTTTGACACCAAAAACAAAGGCAACAAAAACAGGTGAGAAACAAACAAGCTACAAAGCTTATGCACAACAAAGAAAATCATCAACAAAATGAAAAGACAAAATGGGAGAAAATATTTGCATACTACCTATCTCATAGAGGGGTAATAATCAAATATATAAAGAACTCATTTGCAATTCAATAGCAAAACAAACTGATTTTAAAATGGGCACTGAAACAGACATTTTAGGATCTGAATATTTTCCCAAAGAGGACACAGAAATGGCCAACAGGTACATGAAAATATGTTCAATATTACTAAACATCAGGGAGATGCAAATCAAAACTAATAATGAGATAATAAAATAATTAGGTGCCACTTCACTCCTGTTAGAAAAGCTATTAACAAAAGAGATCAGAGATAACAAATTCTAGGGAAGACGTAGAGAAAAAGAAACACTTATGCACCACTGATGAGAATGTGCATAGCGCAGCCACTATGTAAAACAATATGAGGGCCCCTTACAAACTAAACCTAGAGGGGCCCTCCCTGGTGGCACAGCAGGTTAAAACACAGCACTAAGAAGCTAACGCCACTTCAGCATATGTTCGAACACCATCCACTCCGGAGGTGACCCACATGGCGTGGCAGACCTCTCTTGACCTGCCCGCTGCTCCCCTCAGCAATGTACTTCGTCGATCTGCCTGTTCTGCTCCCACTCTGTGTCTGATGAATCCTCTCACCGCCCCTGTACCTCTGGCCTGTACCCCAGTTCTGTATGCACAAATAAATAAATCTTAAAAAACAAACAAACAAACAAACAAAAACTAACTAAAACTAGAACTACCATGAGTCAACAATCCCATTTCTGAGTATTTATTCAATGTAAATAAAAACATTAATTTGAAATGATATATGCACTTCCATATCCACTGCATTTATAACAGCCAAGACATGAAAATAACTTAAAAGTCCAACTATAGATGAATGGACAAAAGAGATCTGATGTATATATAAAAGGTAGATGAAATAATATTCAACTATAAACAAGGATGTAATCTTGCCATTTGCTATGGATGGAAATGGGGGGTATTATCTAAGTGAAATAAATAAAAAAAGACAAATAATGTATGATCTTAACCATGTGTGAAATAAAAAATGAAAATACAATATGGGTACACATACAGCAAAGATTAGTTGTTGCTAATGGCATTTGAGTGAGCAATGGGTGAAATGGTGAAGGGGGTCAAAAGGAACCAACTTCTAACTTCTAAGCTATAAAATAAGTCAAAGGGATGTAATTTATAGCAGGCATAGTGACTATAGCTAATAAGACTATATTTCATATTTGAAAATTGCTAAGAGAATATATAAAATATTTTCTATCTATGCATGGTGATAGATAGCTATCAGTCTTATTGTGGTGATCATTTTGTAAAATATACAAATATCAAATCATGAAATTGTAAATGAACATAAAGTTAAATGTCATCATACACACATACATACACATATACATATATACAGAGAGCTAGCTATTTTCAGACACAAGTTTAAGCACTTAAATACATTAATTAATTAATTAACATATAAATACTCTAAGAAATAGGTATTTTTATTAATCCCATTATACGGATGAGTAAAAGAAGCATAATATAATAATTTGCCCAAAGTTACATAGCCAGTTAATTATGCATCTAGAATTTGAAGTGGAGTCTGTCTCTACAGTCCATGATCTCAACTATCATGGCACGTGATACCTTGATATGAACAAGGATGTGCAGGCCGGTATAGTTAAATAACTGACACAGGACACATGGCCCTCCAAGTCACAGAACTAACCTAAGACTCACAGCTATCTGGCTCAAAAACTCCAAGCAAGTTCTATTAATTCTGAAGATAAAATGCTAGTTCTGAAGATAAAGTGAGTGCATTCATTTTTTTTGAATCTGGTACAGTAGAGGTGAATGTACCACATTTTATAAAAGAGGCATCACATTCATGGTTAACATGAAAATATGCAATGTAAGATACAGATACATAGAGAAATCTATTTAATGCCAGACTAAAATGCAAAATAATATTTATAAATATATATTATATGCCCACACACCTATATAAGAAAAGACTTAGCAAAATTAATTGTGCCCTCCTATCTTTTATATATTCAATCTTTCTCACCTAAGCTGACTTTAGACCTTTTTATTCATGTTCTATGCCACTTCTGCTGAACACTGAGTAAATAAATGCTCAACAAACAAGAGTTAATATTAATAATAAAATCAGAGGGCACCAACTGGACCGAGAGAGACACACCACAGAGATGATCCATGTATCAATCACTATTTACAACCAAGGCAGACAGTTTTGCTAAAATAACCTATAGGTTAAAAAAGGAATTACTCAGTGTTAATTCCTTGAAGAACTTCTAAAGTTATTGAAAGCAACCTTTTCCTTCATCCCTTTACTGCCTCCCACTTCCACTGCTCTGTCAGCCTCGTTCTCACTAAGGGGAGGTTTGGCAAAGCGCTGCCTCACAATTTCTTTATTCTATAACCCTCTCAGAAGGATGACCTTGAGTATGAAGTTTCTGAGGTTCTACCTCTGCCAGAAGAAATAGCATAGAAATCCACACTCCCTAGGTAATAAGTAACATTTTTTACAGTGCCTGAGACTTCCTTAAACTGTTTAAAGTCAAGTCAAGATGTTTAAGTCTTATGGGTTGTAACTAGTTTGGGGTTTCCTCTTGCAGTCCAAATAATCATTGGGGAAAATCAAGACAAATTTCCTGTCACAATCCAAAATACCAAAAGGATGTGGTCCCTCCAAATACCAAGATTTGCCTCCTTAACCTGTCCAGAAATCAACCAGGAATGTCGTGGCATCTGTGGGTTGTAGCAACACTCAGATACCAAATACATAATATGAAGTCAAGAACTCAATTTAGGTATGTGCTGTCTTCCATTCTGAACTGTTTAAAGTACTGGGATACATGAAGAATAAAAATGCAGTACATGAATGTCAACAAAACAATTTTGGGGTTCCCCAAAGCACAAGTAACACATGAATCTGACTATATGTCTATACCTATGTATCTATATATGAAGATATGTGTACTGATATAGATATCTATCTGTGTGAACACTTAATAGTATGTCAATATATTTCATAGAGTAATGTTAAGATATATCATAAAATAAAAGAATTTTAGAATTAAGAAAGATCTTAGGAATTCTCTAGTCTTATTCAGTCTTTTCAGAAATGTTAAAAATTGGGTCATAGGAAAAAAAGTGGTATAGCTATGATCAAGTTACACACACAGTGGGAAATTCTACATCAGAGTTATATGGGTTACTCATTGAAGAGCAGCCCACTGGAACTCTTTGATCAGAACGTGAAGAAAAGACCTGGAAAATGCATTTTTACCATCTCCACGTGACTCTTATGCATGCTGTTGGGTGGAAACTTGTGCTAACTCATAGGAAAACTAGTTCATATTCCAACTCTGTCCCTAACAGTTATTTCACTTGAATAAGTTATTCAACTCTGTGTCTTGACTGACTCCTCTGTTTTGTGTGTAACAAAGAGACTACTTCTTAAAGTTGTGAGGATTAAATTTGTTAATACATGTAAAGGGCATAAAATACAGACTGACATATAGTAAATACACAATAATGCTTTAATTCTGATTGAAAATTATCATTAGAGTGGTACAACAACATATGTTTGAAGACATGTGACTCTAACCCCTAAAGCAAATACAGTGTTGCATGTTCATGTTACCTTAATTTAAAAAAATAAAATTATCACCAGGTATTTTTTGCATTGATAAACCTCACAGCACCATAATCGTAATACGGTCTTCAGTCATTAGCAGTGAGAGCAACTAGTATATGAGACTAAACAAAAAAACAAAGAAAAAGACTTTTGAGACATCCTGACCATATAAATGTTCTAGATATTAGGGGTTAAAAGGTACTTTGATGGTCAGAAAAATAAGTTGAAATCTCATTGTCATATGATTAAAATGAGATGGTTATCAGATTTCCGCTTAATGTGCCATTTCAACATAATTCCCCAATGAAAATTAAAATGTCTGCATAAATAAAAATAAAAAAGCCTGTACTTAGTTCTATCACAAGGAATGGGATGAGAACTCAGAAATTTGTAAAAGAAGGCAAAGATACAATAAAAGTGGTAGTAAGGGTCCTCCCTGGTGGTGCAGCGGGTTGAAGCGCAGCACTGAGAATCTGGAGCCACTTCCGCATGAGTTCGGTTCCCGCCTGCCCCGGAGGAGACCACATGGCGAGCCAGACCTCTCCTGACCCGCCCGCTGCTCCCCTCAGCAGTGTACTTCGTCGATCTGCCTGTTCTGCTCCCCACTCTGTCTCTGGTGAAGCCTCTCACCGCCCCTGAGCCTCTGGCCTGTACCCCAGTTCTGTATGCACAAATAAATAAATAAATCTTTAAAAAAAAAAAAAAAAAAAAGTGGTAGTAATAAGATAGTAAAGTTAGCAGCCAGCATTTATACAACCATGTGCTAAGCACTAATGAATCGCCAAAGCCCTATATAGAGGAAGGCATTTTTCCAGATTTTATAAGTCAAGGACAGTAAGAAACCTGAACATGCATGCACACATAGTAATGGAACAGGGATTCAATACCAGGTGCATTTGTCTCCAAAACCCATGCCCTTCATTGTGACACTTTATTACTTCTGATAAAATCACTTTCAAAATTCAATACTCACCACCAAAGGCTTACAGATGCCCAGGCGCACCACACCTGGTGGTACGGAGGTCAGCACTTGCACAGCTTCAGCCAGTGTGGTGTTGTCCACACTGTACTGATTGACAGAGACCAGGCGATCTCCAGGTAACAGTTCTCCACCTCTTTCTGCGACACCATCCGCCACCAGGGAACGAATCACAATCACTGATCTTGTGGGATCCAAGGGGTCCTAGTGATAGAGAAAGAAAGATGATTTAGTTCCCTGAATATAAACACACACCCTAAAGATCATTTGTTTGCTCCTGAATCTCATTTGGCTTCTTACTTGATCTATCTGGAATTCAGGTTGCAATTTTAACTAAATACATCATGTTTAAATGATCAAGACTGTTGCTTGAAACATGCCTTCAAGCACATCTTACTTTCTTGAACGAATCTTCCTTTTTGTTCTCAAGCCAAGAAACTCTTGGTAAATTTCTAACAGGCTGTGACGTATAAAACATCACCTATTTTCGAAGAGGATTCAAAGTAAAACTAGTCATGGGAACGCATTAATGAAGTGCATAGTGTTGAACTATCATTGCACCAGTACTTTCAAGTAGAGGGAGCTATTGCATAGGAAGAGAAAAGAAAAGATTAAAAAAAAAAATACAGTGGTATATCAGCAGGCAATCAGTGCAGTAATATAAAAGAGCTGTCTATTTTGTCCCCGGCAACCATGAATCACAACACACTTTTCATTCTGAAATATGAAACCATTACATTTTAAGTTTGACACACTAATAAATAAGCTGTACAATTATGTCCTTCATTTATGATGTCAGTTTTTGACGAAAGGCTTTTTTATTGGGGGGGAAGGGAAACTACCTAATAGCTTCTTCCCCTCATGAAATGCACAGAAAGCAGCTAGCTTTACTTCATATTACTCATTACTAAACTTCATAGAGAAAACTACAACAATAAAATATTCCAAAAGCAAATAAATGATTTCACTAGATGGGTGTGAGCACATCCAGTTTCATATAATACTAAATTTTAAAAAGTGTTGTTTTTAACCCAAAGAAGTGAGCAGTACAAATGTATCCAGTAGAAATGACAATTAGAAACATTTTAAAGAAAGATTATTAACTAAGAAACCATGGAAATGGAATGATAGATTTCCTTTATTATAGATAACAACAAGAACTTATTTATACAAAATGCCATTGTTTTTAGATCCCAAGCAGTATGAGGTGTGCTTGCTTACTAAAATATACTCAGACTTAAACCTCCAGGTATTCTAAATGTTAAAGCTAATCTAACCCCTTTTCCTGGAGGAGAGAACCGAACGGCAGCTTCTTTGTCGCTGAAAAAAAGAGAAAGAAAAAAAAAAAAAGACAAACCACCCACTGCTGGAGATATCCCATTATGTATAATCACTACTTCATTTTCTATGATGACTTTTCTGACTGTGTGATTTCCCACGTAGGCGAATGAAGTCGCTTTAATGAGTAACAGCCATTTCCTTTCACGGCCATTGCATGTAGCAGCCACCCTATGGAAAAATAGCAGCTGCTACTGCCTACTGGGGTGGCTGCTATTTTTGGAGACTTTGCTACATAAAAAAAATGCTTAAAAACCAGGCTGATTATCATCATCAGAAAGATCTGTTTTCTGAAAATACACTCTACAATAGCATAACCATGTTACATCAAACAAAATGTAATAAAGAGATTTCTCACAACTTCTACTCAACTTCTAGACTCCATGCAGATTTTTAAAGTCCCACCCAGTTTTTCTCACAACTTGAAAATCTCTAATTTTTCTTGTTTTGGTAAATAACACTGCAAGGAACACTGTATTCAAGAATCAAGATGTTGTTTTATCCTAAATAGTCAACAGAGGGCACTAAAGACCAACCAGACCACAAGAAACACACATTTTACTGTATAAGCCATTATCCTCTTTGAAGGATGGTTTTCTCCTTTTATTCAAAAAAACTTGCATTATCATACAGGCTCTAAGATCATACCATATGTTTGCTTCAATGCAACCTTTTATTAAAGTTTTTCCCTATAGCTCTTATAAATATTATCACCCCCCCCCCCACCACAAACAATTAAGAACAGCCAACTTTCATCAGCATACTACAGCAGACCACAGGTCATCTACCTGAATTCTGCACCTCCCTGCTTAGAGATGACATTCTAAGAGAAGCCATATAACTCCTCGGTCTCACAAGTGAATAAAATCACCAGGCTTGTCTGAATAGAAGTGCATCTAAGGATTTTTGAGGTCTCACAATATAAAATAGTTTAATGTTGGGAGAAATCAGGTTGGCAGACTCCTCTCTCCCTTTACCTTCTGAGTGGCCTCCCCATACATCTAAGCATTCCCTCACTTGCCTCTGCCCCTCCACTGAGTTGCTATTCAATTGCACGCCAACTGGACCTTCCACTCTTTCTTCTGATCCGCTCTTTTCATTTCTCCTGCCTGAACTTGGTTCAACTTCTTTTATTTTTGCCTGTCCATCTGCTAGTCTCCCAACAGGTCTACTTGTTTCCAATTCTATTCACAATGGCCTATTTTCTATGGAGATGAAAGAATGATCTTCAAAAATAAAGATGTGATCATTAAATCACCTCTGCTTAAGATGCTTTAGTGACACAACCTTTAGGATAAAGTCCTAATTGCCTGGTAGAGAAATTTTTTCAGATCTTCAGGTCCATCATCTCCTCTTTCTTTCTTCACATGCACCTCTTTGGCCCTCACTGGCCTCAGACATTGTCCTCACAATACAGAACTAATGGAATTCAAAGACTGAGTGCTCTGGTAGACATCATGATATCCTACAAACCACTCCACATGTCAGAAATGGTTTCCCTGTCCCTCTTCAATACACCTTTGTCAACAGAGTCAGCTTAAGCATTTCCTGCAGTGAGAAGTCTTTCCAAGAATGCAAGTGTATCCTACTCCGAGATACCTCCACACCTAAAAATGGCCTTCCTTTATAGCATTTGTCATAAAATATTTTCCTTACTATCTTTGAACTTGTAAAATAAATTAGAGGTCTTGTTGGAAGACTCTGGAAGCACTTTACATTTTCTGTTACAACTTTTTAACATTTTACTGAATTCATTTTAAACATCTTCCACACTAAAAAATATACTTCCTAAGAGTAAGGATATATTTGCTTTATTTTCTGGCCTACAACAGTGTCTGTGACACAGGAGGTACTGAATAGAAGTGAAATATTAAATGACTTAATCTACCTTAATCTTCTCTCTTCTCACTGAACTGTAAGTGCACCACAAAGGCCACATTCATCACATGTGTACCACCATGAAGTAAGTACTATTGCTATCTCTACTTTCTAAATGAGAAAACTAAAACAGAAAAATTAGGTAACTTAAAGCACATAGATGATAACAGCACAGCCAGATATTAAACCAGCCAGCTAAGTTACAGAATTTATGCCAGTGGACAGTAAAAGTTTCTCAATCTGAAGGTAAAGATTTGCTAAATGAAGAAAGTTGAAAGAAGGTAAAGTGTTAGAAAACATACATATTACCTTGCCAAAGTATATAAACTGAGTCCTTAACTTACCACACTTGACCACTATAGGTTTAATTTCAGCACCTGGCTGATGAAAAGTTAGAGCACAAAATAAGCATCAAGTCTGATGCACCAAAAGACAAACAATTGTTTGCCAAATTTTCATTTCCATTTATTTTATGAAGAGTCATATTCATTTGCAGAGTTAAGGACACCTTTATACAAACTGACACAGACATAACAATCTTTATGCTCAAATGCATGGCATTCAAAGTCTCCAAAGTGTCTATATGAATATTATATTCATTACAATATAAATGAATATCACATATATATGTGTACATTTTCACAGATTAAGGACATCACAGCTCACATAAACTAAAGCTCCATGCAGGAGCATCTCTGGTACAGGGAGGTGGTTCAGCTGAAATGTGGGCTCTGTTAGAGACAAAAATAGCAAAGCAGAAGACATGGACAGCTCTGGCCATGAAGCTGCTCCAAAGCTAAAACCACAAACACAAGCATGTCACCAGGGCAACCTCAGGAGAAAGGCACAAAGCAGGGAATGTGGTGCACAAAGAGAAAAGAAATGAATAAGAAGTGTGGTAATATTTAATAAATTGGCCAATGAATTCATGAGACATTTTTGAAAATAAGAGGAATCTGAAACACAAGATGCTTTACAGTATATTATTCCAATGCCTTTTAAAGAATCTATCTCAAAAACTATGAAAGCAAAAGACAAAGGTAAGATTCCTGAAGTGTATGCTCTTAAACATGACAAATATTATTTGAACTAAAGCATATTAAGTTAAAATTTAAATAAATAACAGCTAAATAAAAATTCAAACTAATGTCTCAGGGAACTACACAATTCAAACAGAGGTAGCTATTCACCCTGGAGGTAAGTAGGAGAAGAAACTGGGTACAACAGGAAGTAAGAAAAGGAAAGTAGAGGGGCTGGGGGGCATGAAGAAAAAAGAGAGAGGGAGACTTTAAGGATAACAGAAATGCAGAAGCTCTAACAGCTGGAATGAAAAAAATTTTCCATTATGAGCAATACCTGTCAGGACACAGGAATCCAAAGGTTTTTTTGCTTGGCAAGAGAAAATACACAAAGGAGAGAGACACAGGATAACAGCTGTTCAATTACTCATGGTAGGATGATGTGGAATAGAAATCAAGAGACAAGTTTTGAGCCACAACCTGGGGCTAGCTTGATTCTATACAACTTCACAAGTTCTTCATTTCTCTGAGTCAGTTTTCTAAATTGTAAAATTTGAACACAGGACAGCTATGATTATTCCAACTCCAGAATTCTAAAACTAATTCTGACAAGAGAGTATGCTGAGTAAATTTGTCGTTAATTTCTGCCAAAACATTCATAAAGTACTTGTCCAATGGTGGACATTAATTCCAAATACAGCATCAGCTATGAAAGATGTACACTGTGGTCACAAATATGGTATAAATAAAGTTAGTGATATCTTTTAAGAATTCATGAAAGGTCACTGATTACACAAGATTTAACTGCCTGGGTAGTCCACCACTGAAACAAAGCATGCCATAACATACATACCACAGGCCCTGTTTTCAATAAGGCAAAACTTAAAATGACTTTTGTTCCTGTGCTATCTCTAGATAGCAAATAAATAAACAAATAAAATAACAACCATGTCAGGAAGTATTAGTTGA